CCCCTCAGACACACGCTAACACAAAACACACCCACGTCCCCTCAGACTCATGCCAACACAAAACACAGACACTTCCCCTCAGACACACCCTACCTTCAAACACTCATAAACACACACATCTTTATGCTCACATACCAGACCCGCAATAACTTGAAATAGACACACTCTTTTTCATACACACACACAAACACTAGGGTTGCCAACTTTCTAATTGCACAAAACCAAATACACTGGCCCCGCCCCTTCCCTGAAGCCCCGCCCCCGCTCACTACATCACCCCACCCCTCAGTGGCTCTCTCTCCCACCCTCACTCACTGTCACTGGGCTGGGGTTGGGGTGTGGGAGGGGGTGTGGGCTCTAACTGGGGGTGTGGGCTCCGGGGTGGGGCCGGGGATGAGGGGTTTGGGGTACAGGAGGGGGCTCCAGGCTAGGGGGTGGGGCAGAGGGGGTCAGGGTGTGGGGGGGGCACCAGGATGGGGCAGGGAGTTGAGATGTTGGGGGGTGAGGGCTCTGGCTGGGGGTGCAGGCTCTGGGGTGGGGCCGGGGATGCCGGGTTTGGAGTGTGGGGGGGGGCAGGCTAGGAGGTGGGGATGGGGGATTTGGAGTGCAGGAGGGGGCTGTGGGTTGAGGCAGGGGGCTGGGGTGCAGGATGGAGTGAGGGCTCCATCTGGGGGTGCAGGCTCTGGGGTGGGGCCGGGGATGAGGGGTTTGGGGTGCAGGAGGGGGCTCCAGTCTGGGGGGTGGGGCAGAGGGGTTCAGGGTGTGGGAGGGGGCTCCAGGCTGGGGCAAGGAGTTGGGATGTGGGAGGGGGTGAGGGATCTGGCCAGGGGTTCCCTGCCTGTCCTGGCACCGTGCTGCCCCCCGGAAGCAGCCAGCAAATCCGGCTCCTAGGCGGGGAGCCCAGGAGGCTCCGCGCGTTGCTCTTGTCCATAGGCACTGCTCCACCAGCTCCCATTGGCCACGGTTCCCAGCCAATGGTAGTGGGGAACTGGTGCTCGGGGTGGGGGCAGCGCGCGGAGCCCCCACTCCCCCGCCTAGGAGCCGGACCTGCTGGCCTGGGACTAGATGCGGCCTGGTGAGCCGCATGTCTCTCGGCCTGCCTCACTGTTCGACTCCGAAGAAAGGGGTCTGAAATTGACTCCCACTTTGTTCCACGGGCCTTGTCTCTTTTTCTGTGTTAGGGGGACCCTTGCACAGATCCTGTGATCGCCTATAGTGTGAGAGGATCACCTAAAGAAGGTGGAACAGGGCTAAAATCTCCACCACCCGCCTACACGGTTAGCAGAAGCAGGGAGGGTATATGGGGAGGTGGTAGAAAGGCCGGGATACACGGATGTGTGTGTAAAATGGAACGGGTGGAGGGGCAGAAAATTCACCCCTTCGCCTCACTAGCGGGAGGGTCTCCTTGGCCAAGAAAAATGACCCGGCAAGTGTGGCGTGGCAGGCAGCGCACGTCCTGTAAACTCACGTGGTCTGGGTTGAAAGCCTGACGCTTCAAGGCGGGAAGTCATTTCACATCTCCCGCACCTCAGTTTCCCCATTTGTGACATGGGAGGCAACAGTCCCCCGGCTCTTTCGTGAAGCACTTTGAGATCACTGGGTGGAAAACAGCTAGGGATCAATATTTTTAAGGCATTTGTCGCCCTTCAGTGTCCAGAGACTGGAGCTGGTTTCGCCTCGGGGCGCTGAATTCAAGAGCCCTCTGCTAGAGAGATCCCGCCCCGTCCCCTCAGAGCTACAGCGTTCGAACTGCATGACCCACTATGCCCAGACCCCCCATACAAATGCACAGCACCCTGCACAACACCACCCCTGCCTAGCGCCCCCCTGCCCACAGCCCCACCACAACTGCCCGGCACCCCACACAGAAGCCCCACACCCTAGTGCCCCAACGCACAGATCTTCCCTGCCCCCTCACAGCCCAGCACCCCCCACAGACCCCGCAAGAGACCCACTTCCCCAAGCCGTGCTGGGAGGCTCCCTCAAGACCCACTTGCCTGGAGGGACCCAGCCAAGCCCCCCACACTGTCCCGTCCGCCCCCACTGGTTGAGACTGGCCAGGCTTCTGCATCAGTCCCTGGCGGCTCAGCTCTGGGGAGACAGGTGGGGCCCCCCAGCTGGTGGGAAGCAGAGACTGCCTGGAGCTGGAGGTGCACTGGGGTCCAGCCAGGGGGCTGAGAGGAGCAGGGGAGTGGGGCCAGGGGGTAGAGAGGAGCTCTCACCCAGCCGGTGGGCAGGCCAAGAGAAGCAATTGGTGGGCGGGGGGGAGTGGGGTCTCGGGGCAGGCTGGGGCCCCTTCTGAGCATGGGCCCGGCTCCATTGCACCACTGGCGCCATTGTAAACCCGGCAGTGGGGTGGGGGGAGTAGATTCCACGCAGGGAACTTGGGGGGCAGAGTAGACTCCATGCATGCCCCACGCAAAGAGCCGCCATGCCCACTCAATGGGCAACACAACCCCCCTTTTTGCCGCCCTTCCATCCCCCCACCCCAGTTTTGACACCAAACTCACACGCAGAGCCAAGATTTGTGAGTCCACATTCGAATTTTTATTTTTCAGAAATACACAGATGGGGGAAGGGGGGGCGGGAAATCTATATATACAAGGAGGGGGAAAAATACCCCCACTCCTCTCCCCTTCCCTGCCCCCCAGCTCTGGCTCTTGAATATTATTTAACGTCTAGGGTTAGCTGGCTAAGCCGCTGGACACTAAGGGGTTGTTCTGAGGTGGACAAAAAAGGGACGTGACCCCCCCCCCCCCGTTTCATAGAATCATAGAATATCAGGGATGGAAGGGACCTCAGGAGGTATCTAGTCCAACCCCCTGCTCAAAGCAGGACCAATCCCCAATTAAATCAACCGACCCATAACAGCATTTTAAAAAAAATCACGATGGGATGGGAAGAAAATCAGCATCTTGATTTGCCGGCTGCTTTGGGATCCCTCAGCGTTTCTCCTCATGCTGGGAGCAAGTGATTTTTCTTTTTGAAAGGAAAACCCATCCGAGCTGGGTCTTTAAGGAAAATATTATGAAGTTGCAGTAACCACGCACACCCTCTCCCTCCCCAAAAAAAACCTTCCCCAAACACCCCACCCCCATAAACCTCCTAATATACAATATATAGAGAATTTAATATACACTCTATTGATTTACAAGGGGGTCCCCAGCCCCTATGGCCATGGTCTCCAGACGTTGAGCTCCTGGGGCTGGCCAGCAGAGTTCTGTGAGCCATTCAGCTTGTCCCGAGCGCCTTTGCTGGAGTTCCCCAGCTGGGGCCGGCCGGCCGCGAAGGTCTGCAGTCTGTGGCCGGCAGGGAAGGCCGGAGCAGGGTGCAGGACGCAGGCGGCGTCCCCGAGCGGCGGGCTGCAGCTGGCCAAGGCGTCGCGGGCGTAGGCCGGGTTGGAGAACGGGCTGCCCGTCGGCAGCTCCCGGGAGGTGATTTTTTCCATGCAGTGGCAGATGCGCTCCATCAGGTAGGCCTTCTTGCCCGCGCAGATGCCCGGGCTGGAGCGGAGGAAGTGCGTGGCCTGGCTCAGGCATTCCCGATAGCCGCTGTGGTACCTCTGCAAAAAGGTGTCGTCTCGCCTCGCCGGCTCTGTGGTGCGTTGCAAAAACCGCCAACGACAAAGGGGGCTAATTAGCAAGGCATCAAGCAGCGGGCGCGCAAAGGGTACAGCAGGGCAAGTGCGAACCACTGGGGATGGGACACCCAGCGCCCTGCAGACTGAGAAACCTCCCCCTCTCCCCCCCCGGGTCTGCTAAGGCCAGGGCTTTGCGGGGGGGGAGGGGTCCCAGAAATAAGTGGCATTTGACACCCTGGGCCGAAGCCAGTTTTAAATGGGGAACGTCCACAGGGCCAGATCCTCAGCTGGTGTAAATGGGTTCCGCGTGCTCTGTAGACTCCCCAATGTTAAGGTCACGTGGGAACACTGGACTGCCCCACCCAGGGATGCCAATTTCTCAGCAAAGCTTGGATGAGTTGCACCTCCCCGGCAAGCTGGCTTCAGGGAAATACACTACAGACCTCATTGAGATCTTGCTTACAATGGTTTTCTACTCATGTAAACCAGCCAGCCCCAGTGGGTGAGTGAGAGGGGAACCAGCCCCCATGACTCAAGCGGACTGATTCCTGATTTACACCAGGGTAAGCGAAACGAGAATCAGACTCCATGACTCAAGTGGACTAACTCCAGATTAACACCAGGGTAAGCGAGAGGGGAATCAGCCCCTGTGACTCAAGCAGACAGACTCCAGATTTACACCGGGGTAAGCGAGAGGGGAATCAGCCCCCGTGACTCAAGCGGACTGACTCCAGATTTACACCGGGGTAAGCGAGAGGGGAATCAGCCCCTGTGACTCAAGCGGAGTGACTCCGGAATTACACCGGGGTGTGATTAAAATCAGAACCGGGCCCCACCAGTTGGGTGTGACCCAGTTGAAATCAACAGCAAAACTGCCCGGGAAGCAGGTCTCGCGGCCAAGCAATGTATTTTTGTGTGCCACATCCGTTGACCCTCTCCCTGACCCCCATGCAAAACCCCGGAGGCAGGATTCAAAAGTCAAAAGTCACCTAAAGTGGATTGAGGCTGGGGGAAGAGAAAGCCCAGGTGAGCTCCTGCTGGAAAAGGGCTGGGCCTGGCGGCGTGGGAGCTGAGTCCAGAGAGGGGGACTTAATTTCCTGCCCAGATCTATAGCAGAGAAACTGAGGCCAGGTCTACACTTAAGGGTGGCAGCTAGGTCAAGGGGAGAAATCTGTAGCTCTGTCTACACCCAGGGTAAGGCCAGGGTAACAGCGTCACTCGGGGGGGTTGGACTGTTCACACCTCTGAGCGACGTAGTTCTACCCACCTGATTTCCTAGTGCAGGACCAGGCCTGAGATCAGGATCTGGCCCTGCGGCCGGGCCGACCCCAGACAGGAGTGTGAGAGTTTAAAAGCCTGAGCGGGGTGAGTGATGGGTGTTATGGGATGGAGTTGTGTACACACACACACACACACACACATACACACACCAGGGCTCATCCTGTACAGTAGGGGGCAGCAGGGGGACACACACCCCTACTTCTCAGGGAGGCAATCAAAGTCACACTCACCTACTCCCTAAGGAGTGTATGGCAAAACTCTTGCGCCAAACCCGCCTTCCCTTCCCAAGTGAGCAAGTCCCAGAGCTCCCACGGAGCGTCTAAACACAGGGCGCTCCCGATTTACACCAGAGAGAGAGGAGAACCTCCAACCGGTGTAAATCCAGACTAAAGGCCAGGCAGAATGAGTCCCCTGGACTCCAACGAAGCTATCTCCTCTCGATCCAGTGCAAATCCAGAGTAACGCCATGGGCAACCATGGGTCGGACTCCCCCTCGCTCACCCTGGTGTAAAAACACAGACGCCCAACAGACGTCCTCCAGAGTTACACCAAAGCCAGTGAGGACCCCAACGGAGCGACGCCAATTTGCCCCAGCTGAGCATCTGTCAGGTCCGGGGCGCCCCGGAGCTCCATCCAAAGAGGTGCAAGGATGGGGGAGACCCACCCCATCATTCGCCGGGTCCCGGCTCGGGAAACACCCCAGGGAGAAGGGAAGTCTAGGGTGACCAAACATCCAGCTATTCCCCCTCCCCCCCGAAAAGGGACCCAGTTTTTCACACTTGCTAGCCGGTCACCGTAGTCGTATCTGGTCCGGGCCCAACTTGGGTTGGCCAACGGGCCCCCCCGGGCTAGAGCCAAGGAAGAGGAGTAGCCGGCCGCGCAGAAGGGGATACCTGCAGGAGGCTGGGTCCTCACAAAGTGAACTGTTTTTTGTAAAATTTCGGCCTTTTCAACTTTGGGGTTTTTAAGTCTCTGCAAGAAAAACAACAACAAAAAAGAGAGAGGGAGGGAAGGACAAAGCGGGGGGAAGGAGGGAAAGAGAGAAAGAGAAATATGCGTTGGATCATTCGGTTTGGGGCAGCGGCGGGGAAATGGGAGGAAGAAATCCGATTCGGCTTACCTCGTCCTGGGTGGCTTCTAATAGGAGGAGCCGGAGTCGCTCCAGGCTCCGGTTCATACGGTCCCGGCGCCGCTTCTCCATCAAGGGTTTCAGGAGCTAGAGGGGGAAAGGGAAGGAAGGGGGGCAGCTTTTGAAAGAGACACCCCGAAAGAGCGGGGAGATCCGGGGAGGGAGCCCCCGGATTCGGAATGAGACCCGAAGCGAGCGAACTCCGGAGTTACCTTCTTGTCCTGTTTGCTGTCCCACTGGGCGCTGCTGCTCATGGTGGCGGCGGCCGGGCTGGGGGGGCGGCTGATCCCCAGCGGCCCCTTTATGAGCCGGCCCCCGCCCCAGGCCCGGCCCAGCCGGCGCCGCCCCCCGGGCTTTGATCCGCCGCCGGAGTGTGGCGGCCCCCCGGTCCCCCCGCGGCGCGGCACACGAGTGGGGCCGGCCCGCGGGGGGAGAGCGCTCCCCCCGCCCCCAGCCTGCCCCGATCCCCCTTCCCCACAGCCCTGCTCCCAACCTGCCCCTGCTCCCCTTCCCCACAGCCCTGACCCCCAACTT